TCTAACTAGAAATACCCTTCACTGATAGTCCTGCTCTCAGCCAGATGTGGCTTCGACTAGATGATGAAAGCGACTCCCAGTGAAGCTGGAATGACCCCAAGATAAACCAGAGGGACACTCGCAATGGAGAGAAAACTGGTTATTTAGATTCTTTCCGGACTGGTTCAAAGTTTAGCAGATTCTCCCCAGTGGGAGCCTTTATGCTTTCCCTGTCTGTGCCAGAAGCCCCTCGGGATCTGCTGGGGACTCCAGGGCAGGGGATAAGCCTGGCTCGGTCACTTGGGGGAGTTTCTACACCTTGAGTCAGAACAAAGTCATGTTTGAAGTCAGAAGTGTTGGCTGACGCTGGTATTAAAATTTCAAATCCCAAAGCACAAAAAGCATTTTATTTTTCTCTAGTAGCACGATGTGTGTATGTAAATAAACACATAAAAGCTGTAACAGTGAGAGGTAGTGGGGAAAAAACTGACCTTGGCTTTAGAAGATTGAGTTCTTGATCTGCCACGGATCAGTAATGTGTCTTTGGACAAAGCTCTTGGTGTCCGTGAGCCTCAGTCATCTCATCCGTGAAGTGGGGCAGAATTATTGCCCTGTCTTGTTCGTTGCTATAGCCCTAGTACCTAGAACAGTCTCTGGTACTCAGTCAGCACTCAACACGGATTTACCGAATGGATGAATGAATGAATGAATAAATAGGGTCCCTTGAGAATCTAATGCAAGCACTTTGAAAATTAGGATATACTATAAAATGTTAGAGATTTTCATGATAATTTTGTTTTCCTTCCAAATGAGACGACAAATGAGAGGTAAACAGATTTTTTACACTGGCTTGGTGCGTGCATCACAAAATTTTAGGAAAAAAACGACAGATAAGGCAGAAATGCCTCAGTGGAGCTTGTTTCTTGGCTGTGGCTCAAACTGTCACCCGAAGCTAAAACCCTGCAGACCTCTGAGATAGACCTCGGAAATGCTGCTGTGTTTCGTGTCATCAGACCTTAGGTTTTTCTCGGCGAGAGCTGACAGTTGCAGTGACGTGATTTTCTTCAGTGTTGCTCATGGACCCCTTTGTTTAGCTGTCCTTCACCAGGGTCCCTGTAGAGTAGCTCAGCCAGCTTGCGACCTCCTCATTAACCAGCCTCCGGCCGCCCTTCGCATTGGAAGCCTTTTCTCCTTTTGGGCCTGTTGTCTTAGAATCACGTCACACCACGCCATGGAGGGGCTGAGTGACCAGAGTGAAGTCCCAGGGAGGTGACTTCTCTGAAGGTCAGTGTGAGAGGTAACCCTGAGGACAGAACAGAATCAGCTTTCTGGAGCCTTCTGCATTGTGTCCCGAATCAGAGCCGTCCACAGGACACTCTGGGGACACCCCGGGGACGCCCCGCATGGGTAGTGAGGTGTGCCCTGCCCTGCCCTGCCCATGTGGACTGGGAGGGGTGGTCACAACTAGATGGCAGTTTCAGCTTTGCTGGTAGCTGGATATGTGACCTTGGTCAAGTCATTTCATCTCTCTGGGACATTAATTGGTATACATTCAATCAAGTGGCATTTAAGAAGCCACCATTTGAGATTTAAGTGTGGGAAATGTCAGAGATTCTCACCTATTTGGATTTTTAATGTGATTTTTTTTTTATAAGGACTGGCAAGAAATCAGAAGGTTTCAGAACCACTGAGTTATCCACATTCATTTTCTGAATATGTGGACACAAACGATTAAGCCTGAATGATAGGTAATTATCTCATTCTGGTTTAAATAGATATTAGTATTATTGCAATTTATTATCAGCCATCATTTTCACTTTACTCAGTCGCTAAGTCTCCCTTTAGCCACCTGACAAGTCTGTGCTTTACATTTACAGTGGTTGGGGATGCCGACTTCCTTACAGACTTGCTTTAGTCTATCACGGGAACTTCGTCAAACTGATAGGTGGGAGAGATAAACACATGGTATCTCTTGTCTTAGAAAAGCCACAGGCGCCCTCGCCGATGTTAAGCTAAGCTCCACGTCCCAGTGAGGGTGGAGTAGGTTCACAGTCCCATCTGATAGAATGCTCTGATCTTTGACTGCATTGTCATCCTGTACGTTGGATGTAGAAGACCACGATTGTGCTTAGCATGAGCTTTCAGAAGTCAGAGTCACAAGTTCACAGTCAGCCTGACATAGAACTAGAAGTAGCACGATAGGTTTAGAAGCTGGAAGGGACCGTGGAGATCATTTTAGTCCAGATGAGACGCAGGGGAAACGGCGGGCCCGTAGTTGGTCAGGGCAGAGAAGGGACGCACGCCCCCATTCTGAGTCCCAGCTCAGTTCCTTCCCCGACGTCACGAGTCAGGCAGACCCGGGATTGCAGCTGAGCCTGGCAGGTGCTGCCAAGCTGTACCCCTTGCGGCCCCCCACTGCCACGGTCCATGGGGCCAGTGTCTCAGGTTGGTTCTGAGATGCATAGAAATGAAATGACAGGTTTCTTGTTGGAAACATCACTCCCACGAGGGCTTTTGAGGGTTGGAGAGAAATGAGGAGCTGAGGGCTGAGTGGGGCGCCATCGCACCTGTGAACGTCATCCGTGCCCCGGGGCTGGGGGAAACGGGAGAGCTCTCAGGAGGTCTCGGCGGCTCGGGCCCAGCCCTCTGCTGGACTCCGCAGTCCTCGGGGCTTGCCAGTGGTTGATCTTGCACTCACCCCGCTGCCAAGCCTGAGCCCGTGGAGGCCACGACACCGACCCCTTTTGCCCAGTACAGGCCCTGGGGCTAAGAAGGTGTGAACCATGCAGGCTTTGGCTGCTCACCGGGAGCCCCAGGCCTGGTCCCCCACAGAAAGGTCTCTGCAGAGTGGCTGCAGAGTCACGTCTGCTGGCAGGTGGTAGGATGTGCACCGACTTCAGAAACCCCGAGCGCCTGGCCCTGAGGCTAGGACGCTTGTCTGCTGTGTTGTCAGAGACCAGAGGGGCCCGAAGGCCGCTGGTTCTGGATGTCTCCGTGCCAGACTCTCTCCCCGCCATTTCCCCTGTCCCCCTCCTGCACTTTCAGTGAACCTTCAAACAGCCTTCAAACCGCAGCCCCTTTGCAGAATCAACTGAATGACCAGTTGGAGAATTCAGTGTCATGCAATCAAAATTGCTTTAGACACTTTTACATTTTGCATTCATTGCTTTCTTTTCAAGTCATCCATGAAGCATTCGGTAGAAGGGAAAAGAAGAGATCGATTTTCAAGGGGCTGTAGGAAGTGGCAGCTCAGGTTCCCTCTGTGCAGGGGCAGCTCCCCCATCCTGGGGAGGGCTTGGTCTGGTGGAATTGGGCCCTGGCCGCATGCCGTGTGCTTCCCCGGACAGGCGGCTGCGGATGGGCCCAGCCTCCTCTACGTGTTTGCGTCACCTGCAGAGAACAGTAGAGTACCTGGCTGGCACCTCTCCTTCACCAGGACCATCCACTTTACCAGCTTGGGGTGCAAAGGTCTCCTCCCTTTTAACATTCAGTTAAATTAGCCTGAGCTCAGTCTTGCACACTGCGATCAGCCCCTCTGGGAACTCACCGAAGAGGTCACTTCTCGTCGCTGTTGTCTTCGGGGATGATCCTTAAACTTGCTATGTCACCTTGTTAACTTGTAGATTCTGATTCAGCAAGATGGGAGTAGGACCTGAGGATGATGCTGATGCCTCAAGTCCAAGGACGCGACGTGGGTAGCAAGGGTCATTGTTTCCCAGTTCTTTTCAGATCGTGGCACGCGCGAACATGTTTGTGTGGCCCACTGGCATTGCCGCTGTGGCTGCCTCAAGGCCATACACCTGGGTGCCGAGGGAATCAAGATCCTAGTGCACTTCTAACCCACCTAAGGCATGGAGTGGGCCGAGGTGCACCAGTTAAGGGAAGAGAGAATAAGCAAAGTCTGAAAACATGGGAGGGCATGTCTCTTTTCCTCCTACGGTTATTGCAGCTGCTGCCCCATAGTGGGGCTGAAAACAAGCCACCCTCGGGGCCCAGAGGGGCCGTGCTCTGCCGGGAGCACTGTTGTGATCCAGTAGTGTTATTTATGGGTGTAGAGAGGGAAGAATAAGGCTCTGTCCCTAGTGTTATAGTCAGCTATGGTCGACACACACCCTGGTGGCCCGGGATCCCAGGATGTAGTCTTTTAGATACTGGCCTCTTCTGGTGTGTGTGTGTGTGTGTGTGTATGTGCCCAGGTATGCACAGGTACACACACACGCGCACACACACGGCCATTTTCCCTAAGATGCATCCATCATGCCAAAGGAGCCGAATCAAAGAGTTCCTACCTCATCCAGACCTGCCCTCTCACACGACTAGACTTCTCTCTCTCTGTGGTGTGTCCTCTCTGGGACCTCTGGAACCCTTTTTTGTCATCCGTCATAATCTGTCCCCTTCCTGAGTCTGCCAGAGATATTCCGAAAAATTTTAAATAAGGTCAAACTTAAAATTAAGAAAAGAGAGATGGCGTTTCAGATCCTTCCTTTCCAGGAGGCCACTATCCAGCAAACCACAGTAGAGAAAGGTCACCTCTTCCACCTTAAACAGAAGGCCCCTTACACCCTTTCTTAAAACACCGCGTGTCTGTGCCTCACTTAAACTGAAAGGAGCCTCATGCATGGTCTTCCCGCCACAAAGCAGGTCTGTCTGGCTGTCTCCTCCCTGTAAATACAAGAATTTGCAGCTTGCCAATGGCAGTTAGTTTTACTAAAATATTTCCTAAAATATGCAGTTGTGTCTCTCTTGGCACGCACCCACCCACCGCTCACCCCCCGCCGCCTACCGTCCACCATGAGCTGGCTCAGGAAATGTTTGCTGACTGAAAGGACAGTTTCTGGGTGTCCTCAAACCCCAGTCTGGCTGAAGCAACTTTCCTTTCTCTCCAGGTCCATATTCAAGCCTTTCATCTTTGTCGATGACGTAAAACTTGTCCCCAAAGCACAGTCTCCCTGTTTCGGGGACGATGACCCAGCCAAAAAGGAACCTCGATTCCAGGAAAAACCAGACCGCCGGCATGAGCTCTACAAGGCCCACGAGTGGGCACGCGCTGTCATCGCAGGTGACCAGGTGAGCCTGCGGGGGTGGGCCCCTGCAGGGTGACAAATTTAGCGAGAAAAAACGCAGGAAAGCAGTTAAGAAGCTCACCGTTTTCCTCCCCGTCCAGCACGGCTCCGCCCAAGGCCCTTCCTAGAATGCCAGGTATTGATTTTCTCACTCAGTCCCTTGAAACCAAATGAAACAAAGCCTCCACTTTCAGTGTTATTCTAGAGCTCAGTGGGCTGAGAATAGTCTTCTCATTGTTTACCTAGGAATTATAGAAATGTGTGGTTCTAGTAGGGATGACTGCTTTTCTGCTCTGAAATTCTCTGTGTATTGTTGGGGGTGAAAAAGTATACGATGGCAACACTTTAAAGCTGCCATCGTACATTGTTTTATTTTATTTTGTTATTTTATTTTAGTAATTTTATTTATTTTATTATTTTTTAACACCTACAGCACCTGGTCTTCCCAGGTGGTCTCCCATCCAAGTACTAACCAGGCCCAACCTGCTTAGCTTTCAAGATCAGACAGGATCGGGCTTGTTCAGGGTGGCATGGCCATGGACCATACGCTGTTTTAAAAAAAGTGATCCTTCAAAAAAGTTCTGGAGAGGGATAGGGTTGCACAGCAATGAGAAGGTACTTAATGCTGCTAAACTGGGCATTAAAAATGGTTAGAGTGGTAAATTTGGTGTATACTTTATGACGATGGAAAACGTATCCAGTTAAAAAAGAGTTTTCAGTTAAAAAACAAAGTTATTCAGAGTTGAGCTCCCCTCCTCCACGCAAAACTTTGATAAAGTTCCAAGCCATCCGTTCTAACAAGGCGAACACGCAGTGTGTGCCCACAGCAACTGTCAGTGATGCGCTTTCGTTTGGCGCCCACGCCTCTGCTTTGCTGAGGAAGGAAGAAGGGCCGTGGCTGTTGGATGCTCATCTGCTTCCCAAGCATCCATTTAAGAACTTGTAGCGGGTCCAGTTTCTCCTGAAGAAAGGCATCCCTTTTGGGTGGCCTGTTACGCGCATTTAGTGTGGACTGGGTGAGCTTACCTGTATTTGGCACGGTAGACTGTAGAAAAAGAACGTAAAGGGTAATAGCAACAGTCAGTCCAAGTGGGTTCAGGAAGGATCCCCGAGAAGGGCGGTCTCGCTTTGCGTAGAGCTCGCTGTTCCACGCCACAGAAATGACTGTTACGACATGTAAAACTTGCACAGTCGCTTTATATCTGTCTCCCCTGCCAAACGTGCCCCTGGAACCGTGAACCCTGCTGCTGCATCACACTGAGTTTTGTCCAGGGCCATCCGCGTGAGTTCCTGACAGTGCGTGTTTATCTAGGTGGATGATAGTAAGCCGCTGTCAAGTGAGTAAAAATATCACTTGGTAGAGCCTGGTTTTGTGGCTATTTGGTAACTAGAAGGCAGAGGCAGAAAGGACTGTGTGCTTTGAGCTGTTCTACACAGGATTTCGATGAGATGAGACTGCTGAGCCTTAGTGGGCTTTGACTGCTGATTTGAGTCAAGCCGGCGTTAGGAAGTGGTGGATGGGTAGTGACAGCAGCTTCTGTGTGACGGGACTAATTAATTGAGCACATGAAAGTTTTTCACTGTCATCCCATGAATAATTCCCACTTGAAAGAAGAGATCTCACCACCTCAGAAAATAAGTAAATCAGGGGTAGACATGGCGTGTGTTTATTCATAGATCCATTTATTTCTTCGACGGACATTTATTGGGAGTGCTTACCATGTCCCAGGCATTGGAGGACAGAGAAAAGCCCAGTTCTCACCCCCCATGAGATGATGCTCTAACAGGGGACTCTGGCAAGTAGACAAACCATTACAGGACGGGAGAGAACAACCACGACAGAAGGAAAGGCATTGGACCGCGGGAGCCCAGAACGAAGGCTTTCGAAGACCAGGCGCTGAGGGAGTGCAGGGCTACCCGCTCAGTAGCTGG